TACTACTAATGTAACTGCAGCATGGCTCTATCAAAAATTATTACACATTACATTCACTTCATGAATATGGATAACATTATTAACCCAAAGATATTTTAAAGTTGAAATTTATTTGTTAATTTTGCAATTTAAAAAGTATACATTTTAATTATTTAGCGCGAGTGTAGTATCATCGCTCATAATCCTGACTTGGATGCAATTTTTATGGCTATCTCCTCATAAACAAAATATTCGATTTCGGTGGAACTTAGTATTATTAATCAACATAGTGTGAACTGTGCAAAGAGCCATTTTCATGCCTCTAGGTAAGCTATTTTTTGTAGATCCACGCTGCAGCTATACTATAGTTGTAGCATGAATGGGTCGGCTCGACCGGGGTAGGACCACGCTCTCACAGTATACCAGCGTAAAATATCAGCTTAATGTCGCTCATTTCAGGGGTGACAACGCATTTGCATTTTTATTCTTAATTGAGTATAAATGTAAATTTCTATGGGACACACCATCCACTTGTCATTAGGTGGACTATGTGCTCATTTGTCATCCTTATTCCATAAAAAAGCCTGCGAATTTTTGTATACACATATGGCTTAACATTGAGTTGCAGCGTTAAGGCCCGCGGGTTCGAATACTACACGGAACAAGTTTGTCCTACAAATAATTTTTCTGGGTCTGGATGTTTGTCTTTGACTCCGCGATATAGAAGAACATCCTAGTGTGAGGGTGGCATTCACATAACAAGAAAAAGATTATTAATTGCGCGATATCTCCACCTTGTGTGCAGTTAAATTCGAAGAAAAAATTCCACTCTGAACCAAAATATATATATTATTAGCATCGTGCGCACCGTGTGGAAATATATGGGAGAAAATTTTTATTGTAAATATTAAAAAGACGTTCTAGTGGTTACCTTAAATACCTGATATCAAAAAAACTAAAAATAACAAAATAAATTTGACATAAATTAATAGCTTCTAAGGTTGAATCTAAGACTAGTATCGAAAATTATCTACCTAGGTGTCTTACCTACCAACTATGACCAAGAGGTCAACTGACGGATCTAACTCGACTGGACGGCTTTAGGGAGATTACGACATATTTTCTTATAAGTAAACTTAAATAATAATGATAATAATAATAATTAAAATAAATAAACATGGACGACCTGAAGCAAAAGATCGCTGCTTGGGGGAAGCGGATTCGACGATTTTCCGAAGGGTCAAGGCGGTTCAACCAGAATCGTCTCTTCCAGAGTGATCAGAAGAGGCTCTATAAATTATTGGAGCGACCAAAGGTATGTGGAGCGGTCCAAGGACCGGATCAGGCTGACATTATCGCATTCTGGCGTGGCCTGTGGTCAGAGCCCGTAAACCACAGTGAGGGCCCTTGGATGGAAGTTGTGGCGAGCCAGGATGCGAGTGTTACGCCTATGGACTCCATCACCATAACGCCAAAAGACGTGGTTGAGGCGGTCCGTAGGGCCCCGAACTGGAAAAGTCCGCGGCTCGACGGGCTGCATCATTACTGGCTGAAGGGGTTCGTAGTGTGTCAAGCTGTGCTCGCCCGACAGTTTCAAGAGGCTCTCGACCAGAAGTCACTCCCGAGCCTCTTCACTACTGGGATCACTCACTTGGTTCCTAAAGATCAGGATACCACAGACCCGAGCAAATACCGCCCCATCACGTGTTTACCCACCATATATAAGACACTGACATCCATTTTGAGCGCGAGAATCACTCGTCACCTGGAGCTAAACCAGGTGATGTCACGCGCTCAAAATGGATGTCGGGGCGGTGGTCGTGGAACTAAGGAACCACTCCTCATTGACGCGGTCATAGGCAAAGTGGTGAAACGCAACCATCGGAACTTCTCTGCCGCCTGGATAGACTACAGAAAGACGTTCGACTCGGTGCCCCATACATGGCTAAAGAGGGTCCTCGAGCTGTACAAGATTGACTGTACAGTTAGAGACTTCCTCGAGCAGTGTATGGGGCAGTGGAGTACGATCCTTTGTCATCTGGGCGAGCGGATGACGGCTGCGGAGAACCACATAAGGATAAGAAGGGGTATCTTCCAGGGCGATTGTCTGAGTCCAATCTGGTTCTGCCTCTCTCTTAACCCTCTCAGTACCTTACTGGAGGGCTCCGGGAGGAGATTTCAGCTACGGAAAGGAGGGAGAAAAGTGACCCACCTTTTCTATATGGATGACCTCAAGTTATTCGCCTCCAGTCGCTCCCATCTTATGGAACTGCTAAACATCACTTGTGAATTTAGCAGTTCCATTGGAATGGAGCTGGGGACGGATAAGTGTGCGGTCCTCCATGTTGAAAGGGGAAGGGTTGCTAACTCTGAGGACATAGACTTGTCTATGCCCGTCAACTTAAGGACCCTTTCCGAAGCTGAAACATACCGATACCTGGGTATGTCACAGAACATCGGTATCGATGAGGCTGGTATGAAACAGTCAGTTTGCGACGTGTTTTATGCACGCTTGACCAAAGTGCTTAACAGCCTTTTGTCCGGTGTGAATAAGACACACGCATATAACGGCTGGATCATGCCCGTCCTCATGTATACCTTTGGCATACTCAGGTGGACTCAGACTGAGCTTAACGCCCTGGATAGAAAAGTCCGCACTACCATGACGTCCCATAGGATGCATCATCCGAGATCGTCGGTAATAAGGCTGTACTTGCCTCGAAAGTATGGTGGGCGTGGCTTTCTAAGCGCGCTCACCATGCATAATCGCGAAGTGTGCAGTCTCCGTCAGTACTTCTTGGCGAGATCGGATGATCCATTCTATAATGACGTCATTTCTAGTGATAAAGGGCTTACCCCTCTATCCTTAGCCAACGAGCAATGGCAGGACCCAGCAGTGCTTAGCAATTCCGACCGGGAGACCGTATGGAAGGAGAAGGAGCTCCACGGGAGGTACTACAAGGCTCTACATGAGCCCTTCGTAGATACAGTCGCCTCCCTCAACTGGCTACGTTTCGGTGACGTCTTCGGGGAAACCGCGGGTTTTGTCTGTGCAATACAGGATCAGGTTATTAAGACCAACAACTATCGGAGATACATCCTAAAGGATGGCACCGTCGACGTCTGTCGAGCTTGTCGCCATCCCGGGGGAGTCACTTAGGCATGTCATCTCCGGTTGTTCGGCGCTTTCTAACTCTGAGTACTTGCACAGGCACATCCTAGTAGCCAGAATTCTACACCAGGAGCTCGCTCTGAAATACGGTCTAGTGGACCGGAAATTGCCGTATTACAAGTACTTGCCGGAAGCCGTGCTCGAAAATGACCGCGCCAGACTCTACTGGGACCGGGCCATCATCACAGACAGGACTATTCTTGCGAATAAGTCTGATATTGTGCTGATGGACCGGGCACAGTCAAGGATATTTTTGGTCGATATTACCATCCCGTATGACGAGAACCTCGTGAGAGCCGAAACAGATAAGCAATCAAAATATCAGGACCTGGCTCACGAGGTGACCGAAATGTGGGGTGGTGTGTCGACCGAAATTATTCCTGTAGTCGTCTCTGCGAATGGGCTAATCCCAGTCAGCCTCTTGGGTCATCTGAGGCGACTGGGACTCCGTGACGGACCGCTCCGGGCTCAAATGCAGAAGGCGGTGCTCCTCGATACCGCCCGCATCGTCCGCCGGTTTCTTTCCCTTTCTCCCTAACCCTCGGCCGTCTGGTCTCCCCTGCCGGGGGGCTCCCATCTGGTTGGATCTTATTTATTTGTGCAGTTTTTGTATTTATTTTATTTTACTGATATTTATGTACATTTATCTTTTCATTTTATTTTATAATTATATATTTATAGAACCCAACCAGGTGAGAAAATTAAATAGATACCCCAATAGTAATAATAATAATCACTTATTGACAGACAACAAAGGTCCCGTAAAAAAAGAAACATAATTACTTATAATCAACAAACATAAAAAAATTTAAATAAAATGAAATACAAAAATAAATATAAATTAAATAAATGCCATCAAACAAATTAAAACTTACATCTTAACATACTAGACCAATATTTAAATATTTCACTACAATTTTGCGTTAAAATTAGTATAATCGTGTTTCCAGATTTGAGAAGATTATTCTAAATCTGGCCACACGATGTCTTATCAAAGCAGCGAGCGTCGGTACGAGTGCCTCAGCGAACATTGTAGATGCACTACAGTATCTCGGAAAACGAAACAATATTCGGAATGAATCGTTATATTGAACCTTAAAAATTCGATAGTTTTCCTTTTTAAATTTAGTCCAGAGATGCGGTGTGTAAAGCGATTGGCAATAGGTTTTAAATAGTAATATTTTAGCATCTCGCTCGCATTTATTAAATTTCCTGTTAATCATATTTGCACGTACAGCAAGGGACCGCATTTCTCTGTCCATGTCCTGATCATCCCTCAGGTCACTCGATACGATATGTCCTAAATATCGAAAGCTCGTCACAAACTTCAAATTTTTGCCGTTCAGGTATAATGGTAAACAAACATCTTTACTATGCGCTCCAAAGACCATTGCCACAGACTTGTCTGCATTATAAACTAAATCGTAGATTGCTGCGTATCTCTCACAAATAGAAATTAACTTCCTTAAGGCTCCGATTGGGTGCTCAATAAAACCATATCGTCTGCGTAACTAAGGTTGTTTACACATTTCCCACCTACATGACAGCCGATACCCGTTTCATTGAGCTCCTCAAATTAAAAAATTTAAAAACTTCTTATGTTCCTATTACTTGGGAAAGTAGCCTATGTTCCGAATTAATGGTGTAATCATGATAATAATACTACTCGCAGCATGTAGTGTTCTTTGTACTAACCGAGAAACTAGATACCTTTTTTTCCTTGTTTCCTAGCTACGTAACTTCTGGCCGAGTGAGGACAGATCTTAAAACATAACGTTTAATGATGTTCGAAGTTTATTTTAATTGGTTATACAATAATGGCAATCGTTTATTTATTTTTATTTTACAGGTAAACCACCAGATTTCCTTGCTTTCGGTATCTCAATTCTAATGACAATGGTATTAGTTGCGGGAGTGAAGAAATCACTTTTCTTTAACAATGTCTTGAATGCTATTAATCTCAGCGTATGGGTTTTTATCATTACTGCCGGCCTGTTCTACGCTGATCTCACTAACTGGACTGAGCACAAGGGATTCTTGCCATATGGTTGGAGTGGAGTGAGTAAATTAATCTTCATAATAATAAAAGAGAAACTAAAATATAAGGTATTTGCCCATGAAGTTGCTGGTATGTTGAACTGGCAAATTTGAATTACTGTAGTATTATGATTTCACTCGAAATTAATGATTCAATCTTATTTTAAATTCAAGGCATGTTTTAAAAGTTAGTCCCCTTTTAAAATAGATTATTCTTTTGTTTAATGGTGTTTTGTTTTTTCTGTAATGCCGCGATATAAACCATGGACAATAATAATAAACCATGGAATAAACACTGGACTGTTAAAGTTATTAGGTAGTATTTTTGAATTCCGACGTGGAAACAATGCGTCTCAATCGGCGGGCAAAATCTTTGGCGGATACGCAGTTAGCTCTACTAAAGATCTAACTGTGCATTATTGGTTGATAGTTTTATGAATTCAAAAATTTTATTGGAACTAGAATGTCTTTTTAAAATTTTATTGGATTATTTATGAAATGTAAAATCTTAAAACGTACTATGTTAAATAAGGTGGCATTTCTATATAAAGTAAGGTTTTAATTGTTTAAATTATTAATTGCAAATATCACTAACGCTGTTGGCATTGACAATAATCCCGTTAACTAAACTGAACTACTTCTGCTAGAACGTACGAAGATAGTCGAATGGTGGGTTCGAACACATGACTTTACTTATATTGTTTTTTTTTCGTTATGTGTATATAATATCCTTTCTTTCTTACTTTTCTTCTTTTTTCCACTTGTAACAATTAGTAACCAATGCAAGAATGTTCTCAATGGCGTATTCGTTGAGAATCCTCTGTCCAACAATGAACTAAATCACTGTAAATAAAGACTATGAAGCTTAATGTCGTAAAGCCCAGTTTACCTTTATTAATCATATACAATATGGAGAAAATCGACTTATCCGATTTGATATGAGCATATATCAAAGCATATAAGAAAAACATCTTCATTTATATATAAAATTGTTATTGTTATTTTTAATTCCTTCATATTTCTTACCACAATTTTCTTGAAATTTAGCAAAAACTTAAAACCTTGCAACACCGTTGTCAGCAATGGTATCCGATGTGACTGCAAAAGGTATCGTTATTTTAATCATTATTTCTAACGAACGAACGATAAACTGATAAGAGAAGGCTGAGGTGAACAAAGGTCAAAGTCCTGCCTCTCGATATTGTTACACGCCGGCTGCACGTGCTGCACGTATTGCCATATAAGTTTTACCATTAAATTATTTCCTTATTGAGGGGTTTATTTTATTTTATTCTTTACAGGTTTTGTTTATTAATTCTCGAAAAAGCATTACATAAATAAAATCATATCATGCTATCTTTAAAGCGTCTTCTCGAACCAGAAACGATTTTTTACACGTAGTATTTAATGTACATATAATATAATAAGGGATACAGATCTAGGTTAATTCCTTATCTTAATTCAAGTTTTAATAAGTGTTCTTTTCTGTATAGGTGTTTAGTGGTGCAGCGACTTGTTTTTACGCCTTTATCGGGTTCGATATCATTGCCACCACTGGAGAGGAAGCTAACAACCCAAAAAGATCCATTCCCTTGGCAATAGTTCTTAGCTTGGGAATCATCTTACTTGCTTATGTCAGCAGCTCCGTGATGCTCACTCTAATAGGTAGTATGCCTAATTGTTTATTGTACTTTTAAAAATAATAATATTAATTAATAATAATGCGCTCCAGACCGAATTTGGGTCACGGCGTGAAGTCTTAACGAGGACAAACCATATAGGAATATACATAGTGTAGAAGTTTGTGCGCAAGCACACGTGCACTGTGAACTTACTCACTCTTATGGTCCCACGGGATGGCAATCCGACGTAAGTGGAGAGAGAACAGACGCACGACCAACGGATTTGCCTGCTATCTGAGGCAGGGGGTGTAAAACCGTCAACTCCCTTATTCCGAGCTGCTACTGATATTTATTGACAGATGAACTTAATCAACTCGAGATCTCATGATCTGCAATTCCAAATACAAAATTGATGACAGTGAGCTGTTGAGCAGATTTAATATTAATGTACCTCTGAGACCTCCTCGCAACCCATGTCCTTTCTTTAAGACTGAGAGCACTCGAACAAAACTTGGACAGAATTCTCCAATAACACGTTTATAACGCCTATACAATGTATGTGTAAAAAACATAGCAACACTGGACATTGGTTGTGACGGGCTCACACTTTTTATGGAAAAAATGTAACGCCTGTTTAGAAAATTAATTATTCACTAACTTTATGCTAAACTTAACTTTTATTTATGTTTCAAAACCTGTTAACTATCTTTTGTTCGTAAAACTTATTTTTGTTCCAACTAACATTAAAATAGGCAAATTATAAACACTGCTATTGTTTTAGAATGACGTGTTCTCCTATAAATGGTAGTACATAGTAATTTATAGATGTAAAGCATGTGTTAGAAGTAATTTAATATGTACAACTGTTGGAGATCCATACAAATAAATAAATAAATAAATTACGACCACTAGATAAACGAGGCAGTCAAGTAATAGTAATTAACAGCTACTAATAAAGCTGTTTTATCATTTCAATGGAGCCTTTAATTTATTTTAGAATGATGATGTTTTGATATCATTATATTAGGATTTATTATGATTATTAGTCTATAGAATCAATCGAGACCCCTAGCCTTTCATTTCTAGTTACTTAATCTATCACATTGCACTTTTATTTTAATGTATGGACTTAAGACCTCAAAAACATTAAATAAAAACTGAAGAGACTTGTAAAAGCGGGTGTTAAAGGGTAATAAGACATGATATCCGTTACGTAAATAAACTATGCTGGCATGCATGCCCTTATGCATGACATGGCATAAGGGTCCGCACAAAAGTCGTAATAATACACAATAAAGACAATAGAAGTGGCGTAGACGCGTGACCTTGTCGCCGCTATGATGTGTTGACGATCATCATTCACCATTTTGTGATTTAGTTGCTTGGGGAACGTCGTACGTTAATTTATGTTATTATAATGGTGAACTGCAGCATAATCAGTAGGTAGTAAAAACTCATCAAGGACATGTAATTCAACTACCAAAGGCATAACATTTCATCGGTAAGATGACTATTTACTAATTGTCATTGTTTTAACTAATTTACATCTAGGTGAATACTTTGCTATGATATTTACCTTTGTAAACTTTTATTTATTACGATTCCCATTGCTGCTTTTGTTCTAATGTAATACGCGACGCACGCGACTTGAACAGACTCGTCAAGTAATGTAACGTGAAACATGAGATATTATTATTACTATTTCCGTGGGTCCGTCATGGACCTTTATGCCATGTCATCACAATCACTAAGCCACATTTTAGAACAGCCAGTATAACATTGACATTTTTTAAGATTTTGAGAATTATTGTTTGTCAAACTCCAAATGACCGTGTCATTTCTGTCGTGTTATTATTTTGCCGAGGTGTTGTGGACTCTGTGTGTAGCTCAGAAGTCGATTCGGACATTCCAAGCTCGATCCCCACCCAAAAATAATGTGAGGAAACCTGCATATTTAAAAATATAATCATAAATTCACTCATTAAAACCTATGGGGTGCTTCCAGTTGACCTAGAATTTGGTAAGATGTCAAGCCTTTTTCTCAGGAAAGAGCGGAGGTCAAGTACAATCTTATTTCTGTTGCAAAGTTATGTTTGTTCTGTACTCCGTCTGAACTTTTCGTTACAGCAATGTTCAGTCAGTTACCTATTATTTATGAATTTCAGTAATTTGATTATTTTGATGAAAGTAGGGAATGTACTTACTCTAATTTAAAAGAAACCCTCGGGGCTCAATACTTACTCGCACTTGTCTGGTTTTGTTTTTTATCGACTACTTTTTAAACTTCTATTATTTTGAAATAAATGTTTATATTTTTAAATTGTATGGGATTCTTCGTATCACTTGCTTTCTTTTGACTTATCTTGCATAACATTTTCAAACACACCTGTGGCTTCCGTGCAATCTACCTGACTACAAGTAGGCGTCAACAGCCCCTGAATGAAATGATAGTGACGCCCTACAGTTACTAGCGAAGTTTTAAATGAATAAAAATACGGCGTGCTTTGCTGTGCTGTTTTAAAAGGGTTTTATTTAGAACTGTAAAATTTGTTTAATTCTAAATATTATATGACGAATATTTTATAAAGGATAATTTTATGTATTTTTGTGGTGAAAAATATTTTAATATGTGTTAAAACCAATAACTATTATACATACTATAAGAAACAAATGTTGAATTGTCCATTAGTGCCATATGACAAAGTGGACACGGACTCGGCGCTGGTGCAGATGTTTGCCTACGTTCAGGCTCCGACGTGCAAGTACATAGTCGCCGTAGGCGCGCTGGCTGGTTTAACCGTTTCAATGTTTGGTTCCATGTTCCCGATGCCACGAGTTGTTTACGCCATGGCTCAAGACGGACTGATTTTCAAGTGAGTGTACTTTGTCCTTTAAACCCATTTTGCCAATTTTCCCCAAAATAATGGTCTTAAATAGTTTTTTTTTTTTTGATATCTTCGGAATAATAAACAAATAAATCATATGGATTAAGGGTAAATATTAAAAATACTACCTCAAATGTCTTAGCAATTTCCTCCATTATGCCGAAAATATTGCAGCATTAATTTTGAAATAAATATGTTGTAAAGTTGAGAATTAATGTTAAGTACTGTGTTAGGGAAAACACGATTCCGTAAAATTTTCGCGATAGAAAAGAATCTAAAGTTACCTTTAAACTGAACAATAAACCGCTGTTATTTATTAAATACTTTAAATTAGATCATGAAACTTTGCATACTAATTGAACTAACTATAGAGCAGGGCTTATGTTTTATTTATTTTTTAATTACCATTATTTTCACTGTAAAATGAAATTACCTAAACTATTGGCGTCTTGAAGCTTGTTTCCTGCCGCCCGGTTAGTCTTGCTTCGGCTTTTGAACGGGGAAGCTGTGTCACTCACGATCAGAATACACATTACGCTGTCGCCGCCAGACGACGTACAATTAAAATGGGAAATAGCCGTAATAAAAATAAGAAGCGACTGGTTTGGCGTAAAGAAACTGACATAAATATGATAAACCTAATGAAATAAGTATATAACGACCTTTCTACTTACAGTATTAGTGATTACAAACATGTCGGCATAGCATAAGATGCGCGGGGAAGTGGGGGTGAAATTAGAATTTGAGTTCAGTAACTATATCTCCTTAAAAAAACGTAGTATTCCATCAGACAAAATGTCACTGCGTACAAATTATTCGCTCATATACATAGCCTTTCACAAGTCAACAACTGAAAATAGACATCCCCAGAGAATGCCTCAAAACACAGTCCTGAGCCTCTAGAGACTATTTGGGAACCATCCTTCACTGCGCTTAACTTAACTGAAGCTGTCACTCGAAAAACAATTTTTCCCCGTCGATTGTTAGATCCTTGAACTTTGTCAGTTAACCGGGTTTTGCAGTGTATATTTTTATTTCGAATTATATCACGCAGGGAATTTAGATCATGCCCATAGAAAGGGCACATCGTTGTAACCTTAAGCTTCCTCTTAGTGTCAGCGGGATGGGCTACGTCTCAGATACGTTAAAAATGACAACACGCATTGGTTATGCACTCATGTTTTTCAAGTTTTGGCATATATATATATATGACAATCAATTCTCTTTGGAAGAGTTCTGTTCTGATTATAGTGATAAAGCAACGATATATCTATAACAATTTGTATCTGAGCAGTCAGAACTATCCGAAACGACGAACGGAAAAAATATTTTGCTTGTTCGTTTTCAATCAAAAATAAAACAAGGGGTTTTCCAAAATATTCGTTTAATATTATAATTAATTGAATAACATTAACAATAGAACTTTCGAAGAGTACTATAGCCTATACAACCTATTACCATTACCATAAATATTTAAAATTTAACTGGAAAAACTAACCAACCTTAGAAAAAGTGTCTTTATGTTTTGTTTTGTTTCTTTAACTTAAATAAAATTAGTAACATACGAGCTCTTGTTGAACTTTTTCTATTTTTATCAGGCAACTTGCCGCTATCTCAGACAAGACAGGTTCACCTGCTTTTGCCACCATTTGTGGTGGTATTGCTGCAGCCTTCGTTTCTCTTGTAGTACAACTTGAAGTACTTGTAGAAATGATGAGCATAGGTAAGTAACGATTTTATTCATATTAATGTTTTATTGCTATTTGCTTTGCAAAACTAAAAAAAAAAATATTAAGAAAAAGTTTACCTAAAGGTTCTATGAACATCAAAATTTACCGCTAGCTCCAAATACGTGACCTTAAATCCTGGTTGAAAAGACCTGGTTTGTTGGCTACAAATTTTGCTATTCGACAAAGGATAGGCGGTATAGTCTGTATAAATACTGGATATATTACATTACATCTCTACAAAACTATACAAAAAATATTCTAGAGTATAAAACTAACTATACCTGTTATGCACTTTTATTAAAAATAATCGTTCGAATCTCAGGTTGGGCGAAAAATTAAATTATATAATTTTTCCGTCAAAAAATTTTCAGTAGCTGTGGGGTCAGTAAGTTAGCGGTGTCTCACCCCGTGCCTCCAAAAGCACGTAAAGCCGTAATCACGTAAAGGGAATAGAGAGTGCACCTGTACTTGCATATACACTTGGGCACTATAATCCTGTCCTGCGCCAATGGCTAGTCTTCGTTCAGGCTGGTCACCGTGACCGAAATTAGGTCAATTCTAAGATTATATATCATAGAATAACTCCAAAACGCCTAGGTTAGGAGCACGTTATTATTAGTTTACATTTTAGTTCGCATATTTTCCACAAGACTTCTCTTCTTTATTAAAACAGACTCTTAGTTGAAGCTTAAAATTAAAAACAAATTCCTTTTTGTAATAAGACGTCCTGTGAGAGCCCTGTAAAGGCGGTTGAGAATATTCACTATCGTATATATTCCATTGGGTGTTGTAAGAGGTGACAGATGGAGACATACAGGAGATGGGCAACAGCATCTTTCTGATAACAGCAATTATACAATAAAAGCTGCGGTTGCCAACCTGCTCGCCAAGCGTGGCAAATATCGCCCCATGAGCATCGACACGAACAAACAGCCCCGGCTCTGCTTTTCCTTGCTATGGTGGCGACCATGGTAATATCGAGGCAGGGTGTGCTAAGAATCTCCGGGGGAGATTCAGTTACCACCTCAGACGTCTCGACCTGGCAACATATAACGCACGCACACTAAGTACAGACGACCTGGAAGAAGAGAATTTGCCAGCACAACTTGTCTACCAAGTTGAGGAGGAGGTTACGGTAATCCTCCAGCAACCTGTTCTTTCACCGGTAGGGCGACCATCTGTTCCCAAGGAGGTGTCGGATTTATTGTTCCCAAGTTACTCGTCAACAACGTTGAAAATGTCATAATTGGGAGTGTGTCGACGAGGGTTGCGTACCTGATACAAATAATCACCAAACGGTATTCGCTGAAGGTCCTACAGGTTTACGCACCAACCTCGGCATACCCCGACGAGCTGGTGGAGGAAATATATGAGGATATCTCTAGAGCCATAAATATATGAGGATATCTCTAAAACGGAGCGTCCCCGTCTAATGAAATCAATGGTCCGTCCCCCTCGTGCGCTAATCCAGGCTCCCGAAAACTTTCACCTTGAATTACAAAACCATTTTTAGTACCAAAGACTGCAATGTAGTGAACGATAAGTGACAAGCTCGTAGTAACAGTCCATGCGGTCGGAACTAAGTTCTGCAAGACCCGCAGTTGAAGAACACAAAAACTCTCCGATCACGCTGTTAATCTCATGGCTGTTAGACGGGAAATGAAGTTGCAGTCTTCAGCAGATTTGACAGTATACAGAAAACTGAAGTGACAGATCTTCAAATACTGCAGCGGGCTAACGCAACTTCAATACAGCTCGTATTGAAAAAGTGATTGAGCGGAACCAGGGCTCCAAAGTCTTCTCAAGAGATCTGTCTGCCAGAAAGATCCACCTGTCGAAGCTGAAGACCGAGTGGCAGCATCGTTTCCGGGACACTAAATATTGAGTGAGATTGAGAGGTTCTATGGGCAGCTGTACACGTCATCGTTGGGGCCACACGCAAGTGTGAGTAACCTTTCAAGAGCAAGTCTTATCCGACACCATTCCTATGATATCCCGAACGTAAGTCTGAGCGAGATGAGAATGACTATCCAGCATCTTAAAGACGGCAATTCCCCGGGCGAGGATGGAATTACAGCGGAGCTTCTGAAATCAAGTGGAAAACCGGTACTTGAAGTCCTTCAGAAGCTTTTTAATTCCGTCCTCCATGGTACTACTACAGAGGTGTGGAGCAGAAGTGCGATCGTCTTATTCTTCAAGAAAGGTGACAATGCTCTTTTGAAGAACTGCAGACCGATTTACGCTGCATTGGAATATGTTTTCAAGCTACTGAATTAGAAATTATACAATATTAAATTCAATGGCGAGTGCATCACTGACCTTCGATTTGCCGACGATACAGTCCTTAGGGCATAATCGCTGGAGGACTTAAGCACTGTGCTCAATGACTTTAATAGTGCCTCCCAACGGATGGATCTTAAGATGAACATGGACAAAGCAAAGATCATGTGTATGTGTGATTTACCTATTTTCTTTCAGTGTGTGTGATATGACATACCTAACTATTAAATATTTTCTTAAATTTACGCGAACACTACACATTGAATAAAACTAAATTTACGGATTTTATCGCGTTTATTTCACTACTTTTACTTATTTTTAATTCCCGAAGTTTCGGGTGCTTTACAGCAACCATGGTCACGGGGGGGGACTGAGATGTTTGACGTCCCAATGTCATAGTTAGTCCGGCTACCTTCAGTTTTTGAATATTAATTTTTGGTCCGATTTACGCAAAACGAGCTTATAGTATCATGAAGTCTTGCAGTGGTATGCTTAGGTTTGGGTTTAATTTTGTTAATTATAGGATCCCAAGCAGGTGGCAGCACCCATCAATCTTCTCTATTGAAATTTGGATGTTTTTTAATTTTAATAGCCTCGCGTATCATCCTTGGTAGGAATCGGTGTTCTTTTGCGAGAATTTGTGGTTTATCAAAACGAATGTAATGGTGGGGACGATCTTGAACATGATCGCAGACTGCAGACTTCCCGGAGCGTCGGTGCTTCACGTCAGCTATATGTTTTTTCACGCGGGTTTTTATGGATCTTTTTGTTTGACCTATGTAAGAGAGACCACATTCACAATCTAACTTGTACACTCCTGCATCTTGTAGAGGGATATTACACTTGACGGATGGTAAAAATTGACTAATCTTCTTCGGCGGCTTGTAGTATGTTTTAATAGAAGCTCGCTTCAAGATGTAGCCAACCTTGTCTGTGAGTCCTCTGACATATGGTAGTACAGCAGGTACACGCTCGACTGTGGCCGGCTTCACTCGGTCACTGTGACGTAGGCGCGGGACCCGAAGCTTGTTGTCTTGCAATACTTGCTTGACGTGCTGAAGTTCGGCGGCCAGATGTTTTCTGTCACAGATCCCTCGTGCTCTCTGAAACAAAGATTTACCCACGGTAGCTAACTGTGAAGAATGGTGGTGAGATTCACCATTTAAATATCGGTTGGTATGGGTCTTTTTTCTGTACACAGTGTGACCAATTGTGTTATTAGGATTTCGAATGACTAAAACATCTAAGAAAGCTAAAGAATTATTTGCCTCTAACTACATTGTGAATTGTATTGTAGAGTTTATAGAGTTAAGGTAGTTTAAAAATGCAGTTACTTTGTCAGATGGTAAAATTGTGAAAGTATCGTCTACGTACCGCTTGTAGAATCTTGGATTTACAGGAGCAGTAAGAAGGGCTTTCTCCTCGAAGTCCTCCATTAATATGTCAGCGACTATGGGAGATACAGGTGAGCCCATCGCCACACCATCTACTTGCTTGTAGAACTCTTCCTTCCACAATAGATAGCCAGATGTGAGGCAGTGTTTGAGTAATACTGCATATTCAGCAGGCATGTTATTATATTCTAGCTTCCTAGTTACAATTGATATGCAATCTTCAATAGGTAGGCATGTGAATAGTGACTGAACATCAAAACTGACCATAGTTTCATTGTCAGCGAGATGTAGGTCTTTTATCTCACTAACAAAATGGTATGAATCCTTTGTGTGTGCTCTGGTATGTCCTCTCAGTGGTGACAATACTTTTGCCAAGTATTGTGCCAGCTTATAAGTTGGTGAATCGATCTGGCTCACTATAGGACGTAGTGGAGCGTTTGGTTTGTGTATCTTTGGTAACCCATACAACCTCGGTGGTTTGGTACATGATGGTATTAGCGAATTCACGTCGAGATTTAATTTTTCGGAGTGTTTCTTTATTAAATCGCTAGTTGCTTTAAGCGTGTTAGTTGTGGGGTCTGTTTTGACCTTTTTGTATGTACTTTCGTCCGATAAAAGCTGTAGTATTTTAAAATTATACTCTGACGTGTCCATTATTACCATAGCATTTCCTTTATCCGCGCGGAGAATCGTTAGATCTGGTCTGTTCCGTAAGTTAATCAACGCTGTAAATTCGTCTTTAGGAAGGTTTGGTTTCGGCACTGAACTACGACGTAACAAGGACGAAATATCTTGACGTATAGCCTCCAAATCTTCCTTACCAATATTCACAGTCACTATTCACATGCCTACCTATTGAAGATTGCATATCAATTGTAACTAGAAAGCTAGAATATAATAACACGCCTGCTGAATATGCAGTATTACTCAAACACTGCCTCACATCTGGCTATTTATTGTGGAAGGAAGAGTTCTACAAGCAAGTAGATGGTGTGGCGATGGGCTCACCTGTATCTCCCATAGTCGCTGACATATTAATGGAGGACTTCGAGGAGAAAGCCCTTCTTACTGCTCCTGTAAATCCAAGATTCTACAAGCGGTACGTAGACGATACTTTCACAATTTTACCATCTGACAAAGTAACTGCATTTTTAAACCACCTTAACTCTATAAACTCTAAAATACAATTCACAATGTAGTTAGAGGCAAATAATTATTTAGCTTTCTTAGATGTTTTAGTCATTCGAAATCCTAATAACACAATTGGTCACACTGTGTACAGAAAAAAGACCCATACCAACCGATATTTAAATGGTGAATCTCACCACCATCCTTCACAGTTAGCTACCGTGGGTAAATCTTTGTTTCAGAGAGCACGAGGGATCTGTGACAGAAAACATCTGGCCGCCGAACTTCAGCACGTCAAGCAAGTATTGCAAGACAACAAGCTTCGGGTCCCGCGCCTACGTCACAGTGACCGAGTGAAGCCGGCCACAGTCGAGCGTGTACCTGCTGTACTACCATATGTCAGAGGACTCACAGACAAGGTTGGCTACATCTTGAAGCGAGCTTCTATTAAAACATACTACAAGCCGCCGAAGAAGATTAGTCAATTTTTACCATCCGTCAAGTGTAATATCCCTCTACAAGATGCAGGAGTGTACAAGTTAGATTGTGAATGTGGTCTCTCTTACATAGGTCAAACAAAAATATCCATAAAAACCCGCGTGAAAGAACATATAGCTGACGTGAAGCACCGACGCTCCGGGAAGTCTGCAGTCTGCGATCATGTTCAAGATCGTCCCCACCATTACATTCGTTTTGATAAACCACACATTCTCGCAAAAGAACACCGATTCCTACCAAGGATGATACGCGAGGCTATTGAAATTAAAAAACATCCAAATTTCAATAGAGAAGATGGATGGGTGCTGCCACCTGCTTGGGATCCTATAATTAACAAAATTAAACCCAAACCTAACTATACCACTGCAAAACTTCATGATACTATAAGCTCGTTTTGCGTAAATCGGACCAAAAATTAATATACAAAAAACTGAAGGTAGCCGGACTAACTATGACATTGGGACGTCAAATATCTCAGTCCCCCCCCCCGTGACCATGGTTGCTGTAAAGCACCCGAAACGTTGGAAATTAAAAATAAGTAAAAGTAGTGAAATAAACGCGATAAAATCCGTAAATTTAGTTTTATTCAATATTAATTATTTTCAAAAGTCGCGCAAAATATGGTTTACTTCTTTCGTGTCGTTTTCTTGAAATGTTTTGTTGTATTCTCTATGTATCCGAGAGACTAATGAATTCAACACATAATTTGTTTTGGCATGTGCTACTGTAGAAAACTCTAATGACCTAATGAGTTCCAATTTTAATACGGTTTAAACACAACAATTTGAACACGTAAGTCCAGAGAATCGATGTGCTTATTATTACAAAGGGTAATTTTACTTAATATTACATATGTAAATTAATATTACATTATTGTTTGACTATTTTACAGGGACCCTTCTAGCATATACTTTAGTATCAACTTGCGTGCTAGTACTACGATATCAACCACATTCTACTAATCTGATCGAGCTTTTACCGCAAAGCCTCCGTACTCCGGTCGACCCCGAAGCGTCCGCTGCACAAAGAGAAACTACATTTGCTGTAAGTTTTAGTTAAATATCGTAATGTTTAGAAGCTTCAGCTTGTGTTTAAGAATAGTATTAATATTACGTTAAGTAACTTCAATAAGATGTTAATTAAATAATTAAAATTTAAAAAATAGTAAAAACGGCATCTAAAGTTCGGGGCGATTTCTAAAAGTTAGTGCTAGAACATAGTGTAATAGAGTACGAAAACCCAACTTTAGAAGCTATTATGTGAATTTATGTTTTTGTAGTTGTTTTACATTTTATAAAAAAGCTTGGTTATTTTATAGTTTTGTGTGGACTAATGAATAACAAAAAATCACTGGTATACCAGAGTAAACTAGCAGCTTAATTCTGCTGTGTTTCGTAGGGTAAGTGTTAGAGATCCGGGGACCCTTTTTATTGGAAACGAGGCATTACATCTTAGGCCTCAGGGGTGACAACGCATCTGCGTTTTGATTCTTAATCGAGGATAAATGTAGATGTTTATGGGTCACAGCATACACTTACCATTAGGTGGACTGTGGTGCTCGTTTGTCACCCTTATTCTATAAAAAATTATAAAAATAAAAACTAAAATATTGTTTAAATGGTTACATTATCATGATATTTCTACCCTTAGGGATGAAATTTTTTCTTTAAATTTACATGAGAGCAGTACTGAAAATAACCGATTTAATATTAGAAGAAACATTAAAAGGATCAAGTCTTTTTTATTGAAACAGTCTTTAGGTTAAAATCTGAGACTAATTTTAAAAACTAATTTTGATTTTTGTGTAAATTATTGTTAAATAAATTATTTTTTTTACGTTATGTGTATATTTTTCATTATCGGTATTTGATTTTTAAGTGAATTAAGGTTAAATAAAACATTTAAAAGTAAAACCATTCGTGTGAAAAGATATGATTGCGAAACAAGCCCGTTTTGAGATCTCTAGACAGTTTTTATGAACGGGAGTAGTGAAATAAAATGTGGTAACTGAAATATCCTTTAATAAACAAAACGAGTATTTTTCAAAGGGTTAGTTTTATTTAATGTGTAGAGTGCGCGTATATATTAGAAATAATTTTTTTTAAACCTTACCTCCACACTAGGATGAGTTTTTTAAAGAAGTTTAACAAGTTTGTTCAGACTATATGAATCACTAATATAACAAAATATTTACTTAGTGATACCAAAATTATTAAATTAGTAGACTGATGTCTTTTTATGAAATTTTCATTATTTTTAACTACTTAACCATTATTATTTAGGTTTTTTTAGGTAAAATGTATTTTTATAAAGGATAATAATGAAAGTGTTAATACTGAACATCAAAAAAAGTTATTATTGGGACCTGGGACCTGGGACTGGGAGCCTGGCCGTCATCACAGACATTTTTTCGAATAAGCTCGATATTGTGTTGATGGACCGTGCCCGGTCAAGAATATTTTTGGTCGAAATCACCATTCCATATGACGAGAACCTCACGAAAGCTGAAACGGATATACGAATAAAATATCTGGATCTGACTCACGACGTGACTGACATCCAGTCTGCCGACCGAAATTATTAACAGCCTCTCGGGTCATCTGAGGCGACTGAGTCTACGTGGCGGACTACCTCAAATGCTGAAGGCGGTGCTCCTCGATCTCGACCGCAACGTCCGCTGGTCTCAAAATCTTTACCTAACCTAACCCTCAGCCGTTTTGGGCTTCTCTGCCGAAAGCTTTCATATGGTTGGGTTTTTGTACCTTATTTTTATTTATTTATTTTACTATGTTTAAAGTATGGTGTTGTATCAAACATAAAATTTATTTTGTATCTATTATCTTTTCATAGGTATATATTTATTCAGACCAACCAGATGAGAATACTATATGAATACCTGAATAACCCACAATAATGAACCCCACATGAAGCTACTATCCTATTTGCAGGTGCACTCTCAAACTCAAATCATGCCTCCAAGTCAACGTGTGATGGTTCGACGTGTCACTCGAAGGTAAAAAAAATTATATGCGTTCATGCAAAGCGAATTTGTGATTTTATTTGCCCAGCGAAAGGCCGGCCGAATTATTCACAATAAATTTTTTCTATTAAAAATTAATAGAGCGAACGCGTAACTGGCTAAGCGTTTTAGTATATTCACAGTTCCCCGGATTCTGATGACTCCCTCCCTGGTGATGAAAGTGAAGAATTTGGTCGAGACGATACTTTTCTTATGAACCCTCACACAGAAAATAAGTTTTATGGTGAGATATTTGGTTTTTTATCTACCTTTTAAGCATATTTCTGTTTTTTTTTTATTTACATAAATTAAAATAAGATACAAATGATACTTAAAATCTAGTAGAATAATTTCAATGTTGTTCAAAACTTGGAATTTAATAAGCTTCATACATTACGTTTTAATAATGCATACATGTAAATGCTTTATAATTGCGATTGTTGTCTTTTGATGGAGCTCCATTCCAATTTATAAATATTTTATATCATAACTGTATCACAATTATTGTTAAGATAGCGCATAATAAACACAATTAATGAACAGGAGCAGTTCCTGGTGGTTCGTCTATTAGTTCTACACATTGCGGACGTTTCTTCGATGCTCTTTCACGTCAACTACACACAATGTCGTATCTTTGTCCTGGGCTCTTTCCATGGGTCGATTGCGGACCTGCCACCGATATGAGTGGTAAGAAATATTTGCATACAAAATGTTATAGATAATAATAACAGAAGAATATAATAACACAAACACAAAACAAAAATTTTAGATTATATTAAAAATACACTCGAATGTTATCAATTGTATACGTATGCTTAGTATCTATAAATATTTATTTATGAATTTACATTAATAACTTTATTTTTTTAAATTATTTTATATAAACTTGCAACATTTTAGGAATGTTCGTGATCAAATCGGTCGGCGTCATGTACGTATTGGTTATTATTTTCGACTTGTTCGCTGCGTACGGCAATCCCGGAACTTCTACTTTTACGGCCGTGATGATGTTTCTTCTGATCCTTGGTATTATTTTTATCTTGCTGATGATTTCAAGGAAACCACAAAATCGGTAAGATAACCTTTAATAATCAAAATTATATTACAAATTTATTAAATTATTTGTTTCTTGAATTAACTAATTTGTGTAGTGATATTATTAAACGTAGAATAATCAATATATATATATAAGGAATTTATTATTAAGAAAAAATCCCATGAATGCCTTAAACTTTCCTCTTATATTATTGATAAGTCTTTACAAGAATCAGATTTGTTTGGTATGGTGAATTTAAAAGACAGTGGGGAAGCTTTGTAATTGAACCGAAGAAGTGGACTATCAACCGCTGTCACTCGACAAAATATTTGTGCAGTCAAAAAACCTACTCGAGAAAACCTATTTATGTAGAGCTTCAGTTAGAACTGATGTTTAATCAGAGGCTATGAAAACCATTATTCACTTACCACTTCTCTCTTCGTAACGTATCGATAAACAGAAGGTATGTTGGATTGGTGCTAATTTATGATAGAGAAATTTGAAGCAGGCTTTACCGAAACATGGTTGTTTATCTTTGACCCCGAAACAAAGCAAAAGTCGACTATATGGTGCTTTACAGATAAGCCGACACCTTGAAAAATATTTGGTTGGAAAGATTTCCTTCAAGACGATTCAATTTGCTACTGTGGTGCTAAAAAAGAACAAAGTATAGCTAACTCCGAATTTTATGAAGCAGTTATTGTCGCAAAATTATTTTAGCTTTGTGTGTCGATCATCCAAAATACCACCTTTACTGGCGCCTCAAAATGGCCAGGCCGCACATCTGCTGGAACACGTTTTTAAATAAAAATGTACCCACAATATTGACCAGACCTAACATTTCGAGATTTTTCTTAAAATAATTTATAGTATCAGGCTTAAACTAGAGTCGATTAAATAAAAAAGTAAAATATGTGAACTAAAATTTAGGTATAGAATTTGATAACAAAATTCGTGACAAAAACTTTTATTTCAACCCGAGACTCAACAAACCACGTTTGAAACCAAGACCATAACCGCTTTTTTTCAAAATAGTAGTTTACAGTTATTCTCAGGTTTATGGTTTCAATAAACAAGAATTCGATACCAAATGTTATATTTGACGAAGACTGTTTTACAGCTGCTAAGCGACTTCTTTAGGCAATCTTTAGATAGGAATATTGGTCAAAGATTAGAATAGAACATAGGCGGATTAAACTCCTTTTTTTGTAGTAATCGCGACACTACTAACTTGAAAAAGAAAAGTAAATATATTCTTATTTTGGAATTGCTGCTTAATTTACCTACGGTGAGAGAAAATTAGTCTGGCCCACCAGAAAGATTAAATAAAATAGGTAAGATCATGGTTAGCGGCAGCGGCTATCAACTTCAACTTAACTTCGGTTAGGAATGCTTCAGTCTTCCTTGACCACACTCCTACGTGATTATGTAGTCTATGTACACCTCTGGGTCAACTCAGCACACCCACTAACGCTTATTACATTCATTTTATCCTGGTAGGTTTAGATAAGAACAGCCATTATAGTACGTGCCAAATCGATTGAGAAAGACGGACAATGACCTCCGATATGAGCCGAGTGTCAAAAGGCGTAACTTACATAATCTCAATATATATGTGATAAGAATATTTAAATATTGATATTATTCATACTTCTAGGTCATCACATATGTTTTGTTTTTTGTTTCTTAAATAATATTTTCTGTGGTTCCTATAAACATCGTAAAATGTTACGTTACATCGCGAAAAATGTGTTATATTTTATATTTCGATTTATGGTAAGTAACGCAGCAATTCATTTAATAACAGTTTCATATTATTTAAAAAAAAATTTAAGCAATATAATCACCATATTGAGCTTTTGCAAATTCATCCCTTTAAAATGAACAAAACGTGCGTTACATTAGTTCATTCTAAAAGAAACGTGACAATGGCAACCAGAGATGCGTCACTTTTTTGGGCCAGTCTGCATGCACTGAATAAAAATAAAGTTATTTTATAATAATGAAAATAAAGTTTTATCTTTTGAATAAGTACATACTTATTCGGTGTCGTTATCACTAGAATCTTTATATGTGTTATAAATTAATGCTTTTTATTGTTAAATGAATAAAGTACTTTATAACTATAGATGATTTTTCTTCTACAGCGATCTTTTACATAACTTTTTAATAATAGTTAATAAGTATATATTATATAAATCATTATAAAAACTAAATTAAAAATCATTATAAATAAAGAAAGTACTACATATAAAAAGTGCCTATATATTGAAGGTTTGTAGCCCCTGATTAAACGACCGAAAGGTCATTGTCCGATTTTCTCAATCGATGTGCTAATAAATAAAATATGTACTATACCGATGCATTTCGTCTTGAGTCTTGATTACATGTGGATATCGATCGCGTCGATTTCTTTTACAGACGCTTTTGTTGTAGGCCAACAGATGGCGCCATAAATTTTGTTATGCATATTTGCTTGTTATGCATATTCGAAAGAAGGATGTGATAGAAAAGTAAGAAAGACAAGCCAGTACATAATTCCCCCCACTTGTAATCGTTTCAGATTTCATGGGTAAATAATCAAAAGTAGTTTTCCTTATAAAAGTAAATATTTCTCAAAATAGAAACTGACTTAGAATAATATGTACCTAACTTACGATATTAATAAGACTTAAATTTGAATTGCATACCTGAAGGTATGTGAGGCAACATAATTTAATAACTAAATATACAAGCTAAATAACAAAAGGCTATAATATAAATATGAGAAAAAATTACAAGTTTTGGTTGTAAGTATAGTTATAACTACTCTTATCGAGTTAAATATACGCGATAAATTCCGTAAAAACTAGTATTATTTCAATGTGTAGTGTTCGCGTAAATATAAGAAATCATTACTCTTATTGATTTAAAATTAGAGGACACAGTTTATTTACTGGTCTCATAAGGAGTCCATAAGTAGTGCGTAGAATGACCACACGCACTACACCGTTTTTGCCAGTATGCAAGTCTTGAACTCCACCTGAACGCCACTCTAGTGGTGATAAATTGTCATTGACAATTAATTCAATATCCACATGAATATTTGGTTGTTCTCGAAACCCTTTCGCGCGTTGCTGTATGGCATGGAGATAATCACGTTGTCAAATATGGCAAAAAGGCTTAGTAAGTTTTTGCAACATCTGTCAGCAGACCCAGGCAGGGGAAACATGTTCATTAGATAGTTCAGGTTCTGGTAACGATATAAGAGTACCATGGGCCAAACATTGCCAGGGGTAAGAATATTGACCTCATTAGGATCTAGAGATAGACAGCAGAACGGTCGCGAGTTAAGTACGGCTTCGACTTTAGTAAGGATCGTTATTAGCTCATCAAATGTCAATACTTATGACCCTATAACGCGTTGTAAGTGAAACTTCATTGATTTTACACCGCTTTCAAATAAGCCACAAAAATTACTCTCGCTAGGAGGGTTCAGTCACCAGACAGTGTTTCGCAAGACTAGACTCAAGCGAATTATTGTTCTTACAAACCATTTGTTGTAGTTCGTTAAGGTAAGATCGGGCACCAGTTAAAGTAGTACCGCAGTCGGTCACTATGGAGGTACAAAAGCGTGCTACGAAACGATCAAACGTCGCTAGAAAGACAGAAATCGATAGCTCGGTTACTGCCTCAAGTATCAAGAAGGATAGATTTTACCGCGAGGCAAACGAATACACACACGTAGGCTTTGTACGTTCGTACGAGCGTTTCGCCGAGGACTTTCATTCACTACAAATTTACCGGCAAAGTCGATTCCCACATGTTGGAAACTCCGCGTCGGCTGTGCTCTAGGTTATGGCTCTAGGTGAAGGATGATTTTCCACGAAAGGTTGACAAGCAACCGGTTTCTTTTTTCGGTCCTTTTCGATTGACCTTATATTACTGTTTTCATATACAAATGTGGAAAATGTTTCGCAGAAAGTTTGCCAGTATTCAATGTTTCCATCAAATTTCGGTAATTCGAGTCTTGGTAAGATGGCTTGCGTGTATGGTTTCATACTATGGTATGAAAATCAGGAATTCAAGCTCGGATCCGGGTCGCATTGCGGGTCGGCCAAAGTGCGATTTTCGCCTAGAGCAGCCCTGGCGGCATCGACGGTGTAGTACATGTTGTCAAACGCAATCACGGGCTTCATGTCAATAATATCGTTCGGCTTTAATTTTAACCTTAAATCGTTTATTTGATTCGTATAATCCAATATTTATTTACGCACTAAATCAACACGCTAAAGCCTAGCTATTGAGAGCCAGAAGTTGTATCCGTTTGGATATTTTTCGATAAACCACATAGTATTTGAATTTCTCGCAATGCATATTCTCTTTTTAAGTAACTTGAGTTTTCTCTCAATTTCACTAGCGTTCGACTTTGTTTTATCAGTCATTATGTAAGAAATTATGGACAATAAAACCATAAATTTAAAACAAACCTAATTTTTTAACCAAACAATAATCACGCTAATAATAGGTAATATATTATACTACGCCTATTGAAACAACGATCAGTATTGAATATGTGGTGTATAATTATTTTCCTACTTCCTCCGTGTTTAGTTACCACGAAAGGCACATAATGTGCTATTATAATTCATGTAACACTACCAGAAAATAAATCTGCCAAAATAATAGAAATAATTTTTATAGCAAATAAATTTAGAAAATTCCTTCGTATTATATCGTTCAATTTAAGACAGTAAAATGAGTACTTTGTGTTGAGGTCGTACGGACCACTACGGTGAAAGGTTCCAGGTATATAATGTACTCCATGGTGAAAGGTAATCGCGACACTTCTTAAGGAAAAGGAAAAGTAAATATAATCTGATTTCGGAATTGCTTGACAGAATAAAATTAAGGATATCGTTGGCTAGGATTCCAGCCTGAAGAATGCAGAAAGACTCTTCTTAAATTTTTCTGCGAGACTATAAATAAACCACGTTTTGTAAAAAGAAGCTATGTGTTAAGACTTATGTAAAAGTTGCTCAAGATGAACAATGTAAAAGTTGACACAAATAATATTAATGAAGATATATAATTGTTTCTATAATTTAGTCTATATACTAATAAATCAAACTTGTGTAAACTGAAAACCTTATTTTAGGGTCGCCCTTATGTACACTACTCCCGGTTTACCCTTCGTGCCCGCAACTGCCATCATCGTCAACATTTATTTGATTCTCAACCTCTCAATCCTAACTTTAGTCCGATTCACTATTTGGATGATACTTGGTAAGTATATATTTTATTATAAGGCGATCACTATTAATAGATTTAAATTAAGCTTTATGAAAAACTTGTATGAGGTTTTTAATAAATCTTAATTTAAATTCTTATATAATAAAATTATGGTATTATTCATTTGAAAGAATTAATATTCGCTTGGTTCTTAACCAAATATTTTAGTGAATTATACCGTAATACCGTGTAGCGACTGCGCAAGATCCAAATTTGTTTATTGGTTAAATCGAATGTAAATAAACTTTAAAAAGTAAAAACGGACTACAATAACGTTTTAGATTAAAATAATTTCCACATGATATGTGTTAAACAAATTATGTAGAAATTATTTAATTATTTTATTGTTCTTCGAATTTTCATTGTTATATTAAAGTTTTTATTTTTGACCCCATAAAATGGGTTTCAAAATATAAATTTGAAATATTTTTGTGTTTGATAAAAGATAAGGAATGAAATAAATATATTTTAGGTTTAATAATGTACTTCAAATATGGTATCAAAAATTCTACTCTGGAGACTAATCCACCAGCGGCTCCTGCATTTACACCACCCCCTCCAAATCCCTTAGAACGAACTATGATACCTCCAGCCGTTAGCGAACCCCGCCCAGTGGGAGATCGGAACATTTTCGAAGGAGACGGAATCAATGGGATGTTTGGCTTTCACGATCAGTAAGTGTTTTCTATTTTATCTGCATATATCTCCGTACACAATTCGAATATATTTCCAAGTGATGGAAACAAAGTTGCCATGGAATATACACCTACCAATGTTGTAAAACATCATTATGTGATCGTGGCATCGGGACTCCACAAACACGGGTTTATAATATTTAACAGCTGTTGTAAAACTTACACCCGTATTTATAAAGAAGTAATTACTTGTTGCCAACTAATTTCTCAATTAAGCCATTACTTAAGGTTAGAATTTAATTAATTAATTAAAAAATCTCATTCTATAGTCTAGTAACACACGTTACTTACTTGAGCAAATTCCCAAGTAACACTTGATTCTTGGTGGTTGTTTCTGTGTGGCAATACTTTGTGACAGCGTTTCGTTTCAAGAAAAAGCAAACATAAGGTCTAAATTACTTTCACAAACTCTTTAAAAAATATTTATAAAATCTTTGATATTACTCATTTTATATTTATAATAACAATAGCGTTGCATAAAGTAGTTTAAATTGTAAGAAGTACATTATTGTCATTTAATTCTGTCGATATAAAAAGAAGAATGCTTGAAGTAACAAAACGTTTGACGTTTTAAAACCCTACTAAATTTAAATGTTTACTTTTTATACATGATTTATATACCGACACGTGATTTTTTACTCAGAAAAATTATACATTCATTGCGCTCAAATAATACGGTCAACTAATTTACTCTGAAATCAAAGCCGTTTTGTTGGACAGTAGAATTTTTCTATGCATATCTTTCTATAAATCACGTAAATTACAAAATATAACTGAAGTTGATGGCAAAAAACCGATTTCGAGCTTGGATTTGTTTTTGAATATCATACAAAAATATGATATCCTAATCTGCAAACAAACAAACGCTACGAGTGCTTTAAAAATAAAACAATCATGGGAGAAAATAGCGGAGGAATTTAATGAATCCTCTATTGTTACGCAAAAGGTAAATCTAATGTGTTTTGTATAGTTTTATTATTTACGGATAAGTAGAGTTTCATTTGTGTGCCATGGTTTTTTCCTACGAACCGTTTTAGTATTAGGCAGTTATTTAATTTCCATAAGTTTAATTGCTTCAGACATCTACAAATCAATTAATAAAGCTATAGTATAACTTGAAAATAAAATCAAGAGAGTCTAAAACAAAAGAAAATATTTGGCGCTTAACACGAGGTGGGCTTATGGATACGGATCCCATCGATTCCAAAGTCATGGATACAAATAAAATATCCTTACAAACATTTCTGTGGATATTGATGGTAAGAGATTATCCACTATAAACAACTATCTATGCTTGGCATGTATAACGATGCCTTCTTATTATTAGTATATTTATGGGCATTTATCATTATATTTTGTGACTTTTTCTGATTTTTCAGGGATTAGGTGATAACAATAATGAAGCTTGGTGTAAGACGGCAGAAGCAACAATGCAAGTTACTCAGGAGGAAAAGCAAATACACTTTAAAACTCCTATCAAAAAGAGTTTATAATAATTTGAGAACTATTAAAAAACATGTATTAAAGTGTAAAATGTTGGAAGAAAAATTAGAATTTAAGAAAAAATAACACGAGGGAAAACTAAAGATTAAGAAACGAAATTTTAGAGGGAGAACATCAAGAAAATTTCTTTAAAATTTAATTGCAAATAAAACTAAAAGAATTAGAAAAATATGACAAAGGCACTCTAACTCACAGAAATCTAAATAATAATATTATTTAGATTTCTTTGTGATAACTACTATAAAATTCTGTGATATACATTGTTTTATATTAAGTAATTGTAAATAAATAAAATATAATTTAAGTGAAAATATTGATTTTATTTTATAATTCGTTTAAAACATATAATAACATGAAATTATATTTGCTAGAAGTACCAAAACATCACTAGTACTTGTAGAGCTCGTCGTTGTTGTGTAGGAAGGCTGAGCATTATTGTCCACGGTGTCATCGATATCAAAAATGTCATTTCCTTTTACTGCAATGCTGTGAGTATTGTACAAGCCATTATAGTATTTACTATTTACCAATTTGTAAGCATGGAAACTGTCTTTTCCAAACTCCAAATAAACATTCGAGTGATTTCTTGTTTTCATTTGCACATTATTATAACTCTCCTCTTATGCAGTACTGGGATTCGAAACCGGAATCAATAAATGTCTGAAATAAAGAATCCTTTATTGTTAACAAATTAGCGATACTCGTAGCGAGTGAGGTATTTATGACGCTTTGAAGACCATATGGTACATAGTATTGATATAACTATAGTTTTATTGTTTATGAACAAAAATATTTTTATATTTTTTCAATTTCATTATTGCGTAACCTTATGTTAGTCGTGAGTTTTCTAAGACTCGGCTATCATGTGTACAGCCAGCCCAGCGTAAGAAAGTAAAAAGTTTATTTCAATTAGATAATGCTTTAACATACATTAGACATTAAATTTTAAGTAAGGAGATGCATATGTTAGGAGTACCTGAAGTAGTCCAATGCACGACTAACTCTCTTCCCTATATTTAACAACTTCCCTATATGGAGATCCACTTACAATCTTAAAGCTTTCAGTGGCATAAAAACGTAAACATTTATGACCTGACGCAGTGAAGTTATAGGAAGTCCTCTTTGTGTCTCTAATTGTAAAGAGTCGGTAATTCTCGGTAAAATCACATATATCACAATGCTTTAGGAAAAACAAAATCTCTTTTTAAAACAATCTTCCGAACAATCATTAAGTTGATCCACATCACAAAAATAAACTTTGGGATTTTTTCAGCAACTGCTATCTCCTCTAATATATTATCATCTGTATTGTCTATAGCAGTAAAAACCGTTTCAATGCTATCCAAAGTTTCCATTTTTTATCGAAAATAACGTCAAAGTAGTGCTTATGTAAAGTAAATGGTGACTATTACCTAGTTGAGAGTTCTTACTTTTGACAGTTCTAACTTGGAGCAATTACCCAATTTTTGAATACAAATCGTTACTTAAGTTCAGAAAGTTACTTAAGTATAGAAGAAGGATCAAAGTAAAAACGTCTTTTGATGATAATGAGGTATTTTTAATATAGTATTATATTAAAGTATATTTACATATATTATAGTATATTTGGTATTTTATATATAGTATATATTATAGGATATTTGTTACTTTATTTTTTATATGGACTTCATTACTGAGATATGGGTTTCCTATTGGTTGGTAACACATTTTTAACCATTTCTGGTTCCCAGACGGAGCGCATCCACTACTGTGCTATGTATATTAATGATTAGAGCGCTTCCATACTTACAGGTTTCAAAGTATTTCAATTTAGTCCTTGGGATTGACAATAGAGTGGCCGGTTTTCTTTGTGGTTAGTTTTGGGTATCCATAGGCTTTATTATCGATTCGTTTGTGATTATAATATTATTTGAAACACCAATATTTGGTATTTTGTGTTTACGAAAATTTTCACCTTGTAGATATTCAGATCCGCTGCTTGCCTGGCATGTGACGGAATTGGAACCAGTGCCATCGAGCAGCCGTATGTCCAGTGGTGACACTACTTACAAACAAGTGGAATCTCGGTACGTCAATAGCCGCTATAACAATACTGAACATCAAAATCGATAACCGACTGGAATGAATAATAATTTTAACTGTATAATATGTTGATAGTAATACGATTAAAGATCCTTTTTTATAATATAGACTATTGGGCATTTTCTGATCTTGTCTTCTATTTGACAAAATTGATGAAATAATAGTAGTATGTTAATAAACAGACGCTTAAAACTTATTAATCTTAGCAATTTCACTCAAATTATTAACAAAACAATGTTTCCAGCTACAACGCGAAAACGAATAGTACATCCTCACACACCTCGTGCCGTCCACCTTGGGCCTACCCTGACGCAGCCTATGGCAATTGGGACGATTAAAGCGTTACTCACTTTCATGTAATCACATAATCTAAATACTAAGTGATATTATGTACCTTCTTAATGAAACTTTCTATTTTATATGACCAGTATTACACATATTCATAATTCTTTAGTTTTATTTGATGTAGTTTTTTCCTAACAGGGGTTTTATGGATTTGTGATAGTTAGAATGTTGTTATTTACAGTTTTTTTAGAGTATTAAAGTTTAGTAAAATAATTAGTATTGGTAAAAATCATTATAAATATTTTTCTGATATAGTTTTATTTAAGTGACTAAAAAATAAGAACATTTGATGCTTCAAGTATAGGTTTTCAGAAATTGCAAGCTATTACGCAGACTTATTTTAACTTTGCAATATTGTAAACAATTTTGCTTAACGCATTATACTGATCATTTATAGAACCTTGTCGACAGAGTTTCATTTGGCTTTAAAAATCTCATAGACACTTATGACAACTATCTAGGTTAACTTGTAAAGATTATAAGAAAAATTTTATCAAAACCATTATAGCTGTATCCAAGATACGAAAAAGTGATAAAAGAATTTCATAGTTGCTGAGAACTGCGATCTAAAATATGGACGCGATTGGAAAGGAGTAAGTGCTTCAGCGGGTGGAATATATTATTATTAATGTATGCACATACCTGAAACAAACTTTTTATGCTTGTTATCTATTTTAACACTCCGATATACAATAAAATTATTATTCGGTAATTTTTTGCAAAGTTCCTTCTATGTATAGTATTGTATAATAATTATCGACGTAAAGTATTGTAATTCTGATAGTGTTTAAAATTTATTGATGATTATTATTAATAATTTTATTTAAGTTTATAGAACAAAAACAGTACCAATAGACATGTTTAGGTTTGTTATATTTAAAAGTTTTTCAAAACATATCAAATGAATTTGGTCTATACAAAATTAGAATATTTTTCATGTATAGCCTTTTTTACATTTTCCCTTATCGACTTTTAAAGTTTCATTAGATATAATCTAACTATCCACAAATTGGATGTTATTCGATTATTCTAAATAAATTTTAGTTTCTAATTGTAAATAAGAAAATAATTTTAAATTCTTTTAGGATGTTTAGCAATATTTTATATTTATTTTTACTATAAACGCACATTTTTATAAACTTAAAATAGCTGAGAATAAATAAATGTATTGTTACTCATACTTCCCGGTATTATTCCCAACTCATGGTAAAACTTAATACCACCTAATCTCTAAAAAAAATTTTTTGGACCCGTTCAACTAAGGCCTATCGTCATTACCTCCTTATTTTCCATAATAATGGGGACAATTTAAAATTGCCAGTCCATGAGCTACCTTGAGGAGCATTAGGTGATTGATCACTTAATGCTAGTACGGGTTTCATCATCGTTGCTCTAATGGTGATCTTCTTCTCTATCCGACTCAGGAAGAGAGGGAAACCTTGGCGATTAATTTTAATTCAACAAAAGCCTTCGATTGGGTTTCTTCGATCGCACAGAGCGATTCTTTCAAAAGTTTCTTCCCATAGGTTTCTTAAGTAAATATGCAATTGGGTCACCAGTTTTCTTACATATTAGAGCATTATAAATGCTATCGCCTACCCTGTTTGGCAGGTCTACCCTGTTTCTTCTCTATACAGTTAGGCAGTCAGTGAAACTCAATTTTACGCAGATGAAAGCAATGACCATTCTTTACGCTCAGTCTCTGCTAATATTTGTCAGGAAAACATCGTCGAGTACCGAAACAATCGCGTTTCTCAAGTACTCGATTGATGTCGACTAAATCAAGACCAGTTTAATCCTCAGAAGATACAGGTTTGTACGTTTACCGCTATAATAAACCTTTGGTCGTATTTTGATGGCACTACCATTATAGCTTCAGCCTGTAACAGAGTCCTTGATGTCAATATATCGAGTGATGTACATTTCCGCAGTTTCTTACTCAGTAGGCGAATACGTTATCCGTACCTACGATTACGACTTTAAAGGGCGCAGGTATAGCCTCACATGGAATAAGATTCTCACCTCTGGACCGGGGGTAACGCAATACCAGCTCGTCTACGGACAAGTTATCTGCTGTCTACTGGCCTTCCGTGAGATGTTGCATCTATTTTCATTTTTTATAGTATATACCACCAGAAATGCTTCAGTAGGAAATTTTCCGGATTAATTCCAATTACAAAATTTCTGCTAATGCGACCATTGTATACTGTTACAGAACTCTAAATTCCATACATATAATCTTTTTGTTTAGCAGTCCAGCACTGTGCAGTAATAAAAATTTTTATCACGCAAACCACATTATGGAAAATCCTGTCACCAGAAGTTTTTCCGAAATGATATGAAGGAGAAGGTTCTTTCCTTAAAGGTGCCATACCTTCTAAAAAGAGCCTTATTTTTTGAAAAAAAAAACATGGCAGTCATATGCCCCTCTGTTTTTTCTTCTATAAAAATACTAAGTACAAAAATCTTACGCGAACTTTGATAAAATAAATCCTTTGATTATTATTTCAACGGCAAATAAATCAAGATTATTTTCTATTACTTAGGTTAATTTTTATATTTTTTCTTACAAATAAATATATTCTTATCGTCCATATTGCTCTGAAAGATTAAAAATAACTTTAATTTAATATAATGGTTTTAATTAATGTTTTAGAATAGCTAAATTATTGAATATAATTATTAAATTATATTAGTTTTACTAACACATATTAGTATTTACGCGATCAATCATCGCAAACATACAACTGTTTGAAACAAATCATGTAATGTATTGTTCGAACTAATATTTGTGTAGGTAAATATTATGCCAAAAATAGTCACATCGCCCATTGCCAATACCAACATTTTCATCATGATACCTATTGACATCATGATCGATAAAATTTTGTATTGATACCCATGATAAATATTTTTTATTATCAATACTTTAGAATTTGTAAAAGTAGACTTTATGTTTGAATCAAAACCAAAAATAGTTACTCTAATACCCTTGTAAGGATTCTCATAAATGTGATATTTTAAGTAATATTCTTCTATTCTTAACCTATGTCATCAATCTTCAAGCTGTGCTGTTTAGTAGGTACATGCACAACATTCAATATTGGGTCTAGGTGTTAGATTATAATAAATGTCTATTTATCATAAACTAAGAAACAAGGCTAATTGACTGTATCGTTAAGCTAGTCTATAAGGATTTAATAAAATTGTATTTGCATTATACAAGGCTGCATGTTATCCTTTAGCAATGTCTAAATTCTGAATTATGTATGTAATGCTTTGGACGCTATCTATACATGTAAATTACCATGTTAATAATACCCAGATGATATAGAGTTTATTTCACAAAATCAGATTCATTATGATGTTGAGTGTGATAGCACGGAAAAGCTAGTCAACTCGTAAAGCGTTGCGTGAATAAAAACTATGGCGTATAACAGCGACCCACCGAAGCTACACGCTAGTGAAATTAATCTTCTCGTATCAATTTTATATGTGTGGGTAGCGTATAAAGATTAGGAAAAATATTTCCTTAGCCATTGGTGTAGATGGTAGCATATTATGCAGAATATACTAAAAAGAGTAATATTACTTGAGTAAACACATTCTAAAATCCTATAGTTCCAAAGATATGTTTATTAATTTCAACACACATGTTTCGTATTGAGTTATGACGACATTATTACTTACCTTTGTAATTTTAAATTGTGAATGAACATGTATTTGCCTAATTCACAAAATGTTGTTAACGTTTGATATTTAACCAGTAGAATAATTGTTAGTTTTAGAAGGAACAAAAATGTTTAGATTACATGTAAGAACCTAGATTTAAGGTGAAAGTATTTAAAGCGATCAAAATTGTTAAAAGCTTGCTCATTAACACTTGTATTCGAAAATTTATATTGAAGTTTAGGTAATTTTCTGTAAATGAAACGAAGAAAAAGCATAAAGAAAGAATTTTTGTATTGAGTAAAATATTGAAAATGATGTTATTGGGGCATACCAAAGAAAAGATGTCTAGGGTTGTCTCTTGATTGACAATGTAATTTGCAGGGTTCGAAAATATTTTTATCGTATTATGATTTGCATTTGACACTTATATTTAGTAATTATATTTTCGACAATTATACGGGCGGCAGCCATTTTAAAATATAGAAATAACAATGTTGAAACTGTCCAGTCCGATAGCGTGTATTAATTGATCTCATATGTTGCATTACGAAGGTATAGTTTATAGTAAAATTTGTTACTTGATGTCTTTCTTTCAGTTTGAGTACGTATCCGTAAAAAACCTTAGTTAGTACTTTTATGAAATACGTAAATATATTAGTTGAATCCATTTAAATAATATAATACTGTGTTGTCATTAAGCGAAGGGTGTGAATATGAATGAACTGGTTGTACAATGCAAATGCATTGTTAAAAAGTAATGTAATATGTTGACGTCAAACTATTTTTCTTTCTTCATTTCTACGGGAATAATTTTGAAACGTCTGAATTAAATTCAGCCGGATGTATTTAATTGCTTATGTTTTTAGCCGGACTTACTGAATTCGACCATTTTTTTATGTGTTACCTCAGAACTTTTTCTAAATAAACTGTTTTTGATGATTCTTATTATTTAAAATCTAATGCTTCTTATGTACTATATAAATTTGATCAAATTCTGACCAGTAGTTTTTGAGTTATTTTTAATAATGCGTATTCAATGGACTTCGACTACATTGATGATGTTCTCATTTTATTTACATTGGAGCCGGTTGTACAAAGTTTTTAATTTTACCACTTGTTGTTAGTTTCTGATTTATGTTCAAATTATGAAAATTGCGTTCTTAATGCGTACAGCGATGGAGTGGAATAGTTTGCCAGCATCTGCCTTTCCATCCGTTTACAGTGTGTTGCAGTCAATTGCTTCTGTTAAGCTAATTATACGGACTGTGCAATCTTCGGATGCATCAGCACGTACCATTGGGTGGAATAGTAGTCAAGCACT